GACGCTGCTCTTCTTCGGATACGACAGCAGTTCTTGAAAGTGCAGCACCGATTTGCACCTCGACACCATCTGAAACATCCCTTCCCTGCTCCGGTCTGAAAACTGAGCCGACTTTATATCTCGTAAACTGACCCGAAATGGCTTTGGCAATAAGTTGATAACAAAGCGGACATCTTCGTAATGGAGTACTTCTGGCGCATTGCTTACAGACGACACGATGACCACATGGAACGAAACACACGTCTGCTTGGGAATCCTGAAGCAGAGTGGTATGAGTTACCTAGCAAAGTCTAGAACTGTCGGGGTACATGGCCTTAGGGGACACTCAAAGACCCGTCGGCGCCCATGGCCTTAGAAGGGAACATTCAAAGTAGTTTCATTCAAACCGCTGGTAGGTGGCACTAGGACTAAGCCCAGGAGAGGGGAGAAACGCCAGGAAGAACGAAGATTCACATCCTCCCCCAGAATCCCTCCCTCCCTAAGGCTTAGTCCCAAGTTCTGTAAGTGGCTCGCTCACTTCAATGTCCCCCCCTAACGACATGAGCGCCTAGCTGTCTGATCTCACCTCACAGTTGAACGTGCACATTGTGACTCCGGATGGATCGAACTCGACAAATGTGGCCTTCGTCATTGGGAGGCATGACCTGCAACAGCCGTCTATGAGACATGAGAGTTCAACGCAGCCCACCATACCTTCGAAATCGACTGCTGTACATGAGAGGCTCGGCGGACAAATGCACCTCACCACCCTCAGCGGAGGACGGAGAAAGAAATAGAGCGCAGATAACAAATGATAGCAAATAGACACGTATAAAATGATATATGACTGATAAGCAGACCTCGGGCGTTTCTCCACGATATCACTCAGCAGAAGTCGAATTCGTTCGTCTAAACATCCCTCCAGTACCGAAACACCAAATCGATCGCTGAAATAATTTTGGTTACCTAGCCATGTTATTACGAACTGACGAACATTATAGGGGAGAGGAATTTTCCCACAAAGACTGGTTTGGGCGTTACCGCAGAAGACGCTTTTACTACCTTTTTTGATTGAATTAACGAACTTTATGGGAAAGAGAAATTTTCCCAGAAAGACTGATTTGGGTGCTATCGCAAGGGCCGGAGCATGCTGCAGGGTTAAGTCTAGGTGGAGCAGAAACTTCGTAGGAAGCTAGGAGGCGGAGAACTCTTAGAAAATGGTCAGCTGTTCTCTGCATTCTGAAGTGCTGAGGGTTTCCGATTAGTCTTATTCCAACAAAGATCTTTCCTTGGTTTTTCAGCACATCGCAATGCTCCCGCATCTTGCGATAGCGTCTCAACTTGATCATAAATCTGATGCAACTCCGATGACATCAGCATGGCTCAGCAAAAACTGCCCAGAGCGAGTGGAACAATTTTGGATGATAGCCGGGTGCGGAAACTGCGGTCATGGCTTTGGCGGGCTAGCGGTGATTTCAACCGTTTGTAGATGACACTTGGCTCCAGTAAAGAGTGGAGACGCTGGGGAGAACAAAAATTGCTCACATCTTTCCCCAGAGTCTCTTCCCCTCTTGAGAGCTTGTTCCCGAGTACCGTAAGTGAGCTTCACTCGCTTGAATGTCCATACCCCAACGGCACGAGCGCCCCTGTCACCAGTGTGCGTGAAGTAAGCAAACCAGCCCTTTTGGCGTTTCTGCTGGGACCGTATGCTGAATGTTGGGGAGGGGATGGGGTCCCCGACGGTGACGGACTACTTCAACTCGGTCCTTAAAACCGCCTCAATTTGATGCTTACCTCAGGACTAAGCAAACCAGCCCTTTGGCGGAGCTGCTGGACCAGCTGCACCACTTGCGTCATTACTCTCCTACGTACCGACCGAGTTGAAGTAGTCCGTCGACCGTTGGGGACCCCATCCCCTCCCCAACATTCAGCATACGGTCCCAGCAGAAACGCCAAAAGGGCTGGTTTGCTTACCTCGTCGCTCACCCTCCCACTGCTTGTTGGTGTGCTGGGTGAGCGTTCGGGGTCTTTGAAATCAGTGTAGATAAAAACCAGCTTCCATGTGGGTCCCTCTCGATGCCAACTCTTTGACAATGTTGCCGGGCTTCACTTTCATAAATACCACAGAAAGGAGTGTCTATTACTCACATCAAAGAAAGGTCAGCTCCTCGAGCGGTGAGAAAACAGAGACAAGCGAACTGCCAGTGTGGCCGAACACGACTCGCAATATCGTGAAGATTCTGTAATGAAGAGTACTGGGATTACAAGCAATATGACTGTTCGTTTACCTTCCCCGTCTATTTCCGCACAGTTACTGATGCCGTGTCGCCTCATGACACGTCCTTCACGGGAAGTGCTGGTTGAGCTACGTTCCGGGTTTACAGTATTTACCTTATACCTGATCCTAGCCTAGCTGCAACATTCAAGCAGGCTTTCTGCTTCATTTAATTATTGGATCGTGTATAATACATGCTTGATGCATCCTACAGCTCACTCTCATCCATCTAGCTAGTACCTGGTTATAAAAGAACCAGATTGGTCCCCCGTCAACAACCGGATCCTCCCTTCCCTGTGTAAGCTTTGCGTTCCTCCTCCTCTCCTATCTCACCACAATCATCCATTGCAAAACATTGATAGCTCAAGTCCTGCGAGCTACCCAGATTTGTTAGCGGCTTGTTTATTCCATTAGCTGCCTTATCACTCACTTCATTTTGCGGACGGAACATACATACAGTCGATATCCGAAAGTTGGGGTAGGCGTGTCACCGGAAGTGACGTGCACTTGATAGAAGTTGCGTGGATAAGCTGTTGCCAGCATGCTTTG